TGTGTAATTCCAATGTAACATAAAACTGCAAGTGAGAGTTAATTCTCTCACATGTACCAGCCAGCAGAAAATATAATGGGCTTCTGTGATATCATACTCTTGGTTAGTTGAAATTTCAGAGAAAAACTTTCCTACTTTCTTCAGATATTTTAAAATATTATAATATTAACATCAAAATAAGAGCATATCAATACCAGCATGCTTTCGTCTTGTTTACTGTTCTTTATACGCTGCACTCAAATTGTGTCATTTTCATTGTTGTTTTGCATATATGATTCTTTTGTATGTTCAAAATCTGTGATAGTAAAAGAGATGACTTAATTGTCACTTACATGGGGAAACCTTTCTAACTTTATTATGTTTAACTCTGCTTAGAGCCCATTTTTCATCTCATCATGCTAAATATACCCTTTTTACGTGCAAAAATGTAATTAAATGAAATTCCTTTTTGAATAATTTTGAATCTGTAATCGAATTGAGGCTTATCTTTTAATGTCCCTTCTAAGTAGGAATCAAAGAAAATATACTTCGGGTCAGTAGTAGGGAGGGCAGTTCAAGGCAAGGTGCCACCTAATTGAAATGCAGAAGTGAGGACTCAGTTCAGTCTATAGATGGAGGTTGAGGGAAGAGGCATGAGAAAGGTAGATAGGAGTGGCAAAATAGTTCAAAGATTAGATTCAGGTGAGTCTGCTAGACATCAACAGTTCTAAATTGAGTTCAATTTATTAATAGGATCACCTTCTAGGTAATCGGGAAGTTTTGTGTACAGTGATGAATTCTTAATCATTGAAACTTAAATTATTTCTTGTTATGATATTTTGTTATGCTAACTAGGGTCTAAGAATCCTAGGATTCACTTCCTATAAAAGCAAAAATCAAGAAAAAAAAAAACTCCAAAATAAAGATAACCGAAAAAAATAAGTAAATTGCAAGTTCTTAAGGATGGATTGTGTTTTATTAATTGTTATATATTTGGTGTTCAGTTGACTGGAGCCATGTAAGTTTTCAATCTATATCTAATCTAAAGAATGCAAATTCTGCATGGGCCGAGAAAACTTGCTGCTTTTGGTCTCTTCAGTACCAGACTCATGCCTGTACAGAGGAAGTACTCAATAAGTATTTACTGAATTCATTAATTCAGCTTAGAATATGGAGAAAAATATTGCTGTTAAAGCAAAGGCCTTTAATCTAGCTTCTTGATAGTATTTAGTATGTAGCAAGCAATAAGGAGGCTTCAAAATAAACTATTCCTTTATTATCAAGCAAAAGATATATCCAAGATAAAGCTCAAATCTCCAAAGTAAGCCTTTAAAATTAACCAACAGACTGGAATTTAGTTTGTATCCTTATTTATAATCAGATGTCAAACTTTTTTGGTTTAAACTTTGCATTTTGGGTTTACATTTTCTTCTAAAAAATTTTATTTGCTTGTTTCACTAAATGTTTTCAGATAAGATATTTGAAAAATTGTATAATGATGCAAAAGCAAAATGTAGTAATTTAATCTCTACTAAAGGCAACAAAACATACGAGAGGAGACTCCCCCCAAAGCAAATTATCTTTTGGAAGGTGGGCCCATTTTTAGTACATTCTGAATTTGATTCTCTTGATCAAATGGCCAACCAAAGTTTTTATCTGGAAGTCTTGAGAGGGTTGCATCAGTCTGTAGAAGAAACATCCTGAGTTGTGGCAAATAGGTGACTGGTTCTTCCGCCATGACAATGTGCCCTCCCACACCATGCAATCAATGTTCAGCAGTTTTTGGCCAAAAACTGGCATGACCTCCGTTCCCCACCCTTCCTATTCACCTGATCTCTCCCTGAGTATCTTTTTTTGTTTATTTCCCTGGATGGAAAAAGTCCTCAAAGGGAAATATTTTGCTGATGTGGAAAAGATGAAACAAACAACGTCAGAAGCACTAAAAAGTATCAAAATTGATAGCTCAAAAACTGTCTTGAGCAGTGGAAAAAGCATCTTGATAGATGTATTGCATCAAATGGAGAGATCCTTAAAGGTGACTGAAGTTTAAACATGTAAGAATAAATATGCAGTTTTTTAAATAAATAAATTCATGTGTCTTTTGGGGGGTCCCCTCATATATCATGTTTTTTTCCCCCCTAATTTTTAGGAAGCGAAGTTAAGACTCCTGAAGGTTACATAATCAGTTTTTGAAACTGGCATGTTTTTACAGCAAACCTAACAATCTGCATCTCTCTTGCAGATTATGGGAACAGAATATATTCAAGTTTTTCTATTTCTGTATATGATGGTGGGGACATGGGCTGGGGGTTAAAGGGAATTGCAAACATGGGATGGGGGCACATGCCATGGCAGTTCTAAATAAATCATCCAAGGAATAAGAGTGCTTAAAGTTTTTTGTTGTTGTTGTAATCCTGAAAAGAGGTGAGGTGGGTATGGGCATCAAGTGGGCCTCATCTCTAATTTCATTGATTTTGGTGTTATTAGCAATTTGACCTTTGATTATAACCATATGACTGGGAATCTTCACCAAGATAGAGAAGCAATTTAACAGTTTTTAATAAAAGCCCAATTATAGTGAAAGGAAAATAAGCATGTGTTTTGAAAAATGCTTGAAGAATTACTTATCATGCAAGTTTTATATGCCATGTAAGTGAAAGCTCAATATTTAAATCTATGGTGGCAGTTTTGAGTATTTATGTAAAAGAGGACATCAATGGCTATTTTCCTGACATTCTTACTTCTCCACAATATTTTCCAAATTTTTGAAATTAGCCAACATTGTACCTCCTGCACATGTCATTTATTCAAGGGTCCTTATGTAAATGTATGTTTCAGACTGAGCCTCTGGGAGCCCTTAGCAGTGTTCTCGTAAAGGTTGGATGCATTTTCATGGGTAGAATCCATAGCTTTTACAGAAAAGATGAATAAGCTTAAAAATTCAACAAAAATAAGTGCATCCTGAACATTTACTATAATACTATATTATAAGAAAGGGATTGGCAGTAGCAAGATACTGCTGAGGCGGGAGCGGGGGGAGGGGACACACAACATCAGTAAGGGTAACTGATCTCAAACCAGGCAAAGTAGGGACCAAGGGATGCCTAAACTTTACCTGTACGATGTCCACTTGTATACCTAATCCTGAATTGTACCCTACATCTTTAAAATTAAAAAAAAAATCAGCAAAAAACAATACAAAACAATCTTGCTAACTCACCCCCCCTTTTCCTGTCTTTCACTTGGGTTCAAGCAGGATAATAACACCAACCTCTCATTGAATTCTAGTTCCTAAACTCATCAGGTTCCTCTTAGATCTTTTCTTAAGACCTTGGCAGCCTCCAAATCAGCTAATGGTTGTGTTTTAGAAAGAGTGTGACCTACTCTAGGTCAGTTAGATCTTATAAATCAGGATGTAACTCCTTGCCAATAACTTAGTTGTGGTGGAAGGTGGGAGAGAAGCTAATGTCAACATTGCTAGGAAATGACTGGCATTAGGTGCAGAGGAGACCAATAAACAAACTTGTGACTAGATGGAATCCTATGTATCATGTCCTAAAGAGTTGTTTTAGCCATTGACATGAATCAGCTCAACATCTACTGCATTAAAATAAAAGTTTTACTTAAAATTTTGTTGATTCTCTTCATCCTGAGCTTCTAGATGCTTAGCCCTTGTTTTCTGTGTTGGGATTGATGTTTCCCAATAACATAATATGATGTGACTGTTTTTAATTTACCCACTTTCTAATTTAAAATATTTTTTTCTTGAATATCTTCTAATATTCTGTGCTAAGAGCATTACCTACGTGTGGCCATGTTTTTTCCCCTCCATCTCAGAAAATATGGTATCTATTGCCTTTCCCTCCCCAAGCACCTCACCTGTTCCTCCAACATTATGCTGAACCTGACTTCTCAGACACATGACTGATCATTCACTGCATTATCTTAATACTGTCATTAGCACAAAAATGAAAATCCCACATTTTATCTTATAGAACTCATTTCTCTAAGTTTTTCACACTGATTTCTTCTGTATTGAATGCTGGAATTTTTCACCTCCTATGTATTTATGGATAAATCTTTGTTTTACAGTAGTTTTATACGATTGGTTTCTTGACAGAAAGGTTAGGTTTTATTTATTTTATTTTATTATTATTATTTTTTGAGTTGGAGTCTCATTCTGTAGCCCAGACTGGAATGCAATCGCTGCTCCTGGCCACCGCAGCCTTGACCTGCTGGCTCCAGCGATCCTTCCACCTCAGCGTTCCCAGTAGCCGGAATTACAGGCGTGCACTACCACGCCCGGCTGATTTTTTGATTTATTGTAGAGATGAGGTCTCGCTGCCCAGTCGGGTCTCGAACCAGCGGGCTCAGGCAATCCACTCACCTCAGCCTCCCAAAGGCGCAGGATTACAGGCTGAGCCACCGAACCCAGCTGAAAGGTTAGGTTTTAAAAGTCTCTTACAGTGGCTATCATTGCCATGACATTATTTAATGGAAGTCATTTTTTGAGGTTGGGGTGTAGAAGGTGATGAAAGTGGAATTCTTGAGTCATAGCCTCTGACTTTTAGTTATAGTTTTTCTGAAAAATAGCTTGGAAATGTGTAATAAAGACTCTAAAATGTACATGTTCTTTCAAGAATATTACTTAAAAGAACTCTTAAGGATAAGCACAAAGATTTGACCAAAAGAATATTTCTTTTCAGACAGAAGGGAAGATGACTGGGAAGAAGGAGGAATAATTTAATTCTTCAGTAGAAGAGCATTTCTTAAATTTTGTATATTTGTGACTATATAGCCATTTATAATAAAATCACATGTTTTTATTTTGTATCTAAAACATTAGTGAGAGTGCATTTGAAAAAATAAGTGTCTTAAAGTATATGTATCAAGTGAAAATGGATGTTAAAGAGTAATGTATGAGAATTATGAGTATTTTTGTTTTCGTTTTGAGATTTTGTTTATTTTCCAATCTTTCCACAACAAAAACATGCTCAATTAATATTACAATGTTGATTTTCTTTTTTTTTTTTTTTTTTTTTATGATCCAGAGATCTTTTATTTTTGACACCCATTAAGCCATAAATTCATAGGGAATAGGTTCCAGAAGCTCGGGCTCCTTTCCGTTGGTTCTCACAAAGTGTGCTTCTCTTGGTGGAGCAGGCTGGCGCTTCAGCTGAACCCACGTGCCTTTCTCCTTGGCTTCCTTCTTTTTCTGGTCATTTTCCTTCACACGTTTCAGGAAGCTATCTCGACTCTTCGAGTGCTTAATATGTTCAATACGCACATTAATTCTTTTGGCAAGAATCTTGCCCTTGACTTGTTTGTTAACAACAATGCCAACAGCATGCTGGGTGACATTATAGACTCTTCCTGTCTTGCCATGGTAACATTTGTGGGGCATTCCTTTCTGAACAGTACCCATTCCCTTGATGTCTACAATATCACCTTTTTTATAGATTCGCATGTATGTGGCCAAAGGAACAACTCCATGTTTTCTGAACGGCCTGGAGAACATGTACCGCGTGCCCCTCCTCTTTCCCTTTGTGTTCGTCATTTTGGTGAATTACTGGAAGATGGCGGTTCCGGCCGAAAAGCACAATGTTGATTTTCATACAAGAGACCTGCATATTTATAAAAACATGTTTGTTGAACACTTACTGTCTGCTAAGTACTGTTCTAGGTGGTGAGATTGTACAGTATAGTGAAATGATATGCTGTGTTCTTATAAACCTCATAACTGCCAGGCTCAGTGACTCAGCCTGTAATCCCGTACCTTTGGGAGGCTGAGGTGAGTGGATTGCCCGAGCCCGCGGGTTCGAGACCCACCTGGGCAGGCAAGACCTCATCTCTACAATAAAATAAAAAAATTAGCCGGGTGTGGTAGTGTGCGCCTGTAATTCCGGCTACTCGGAAGGCTGAGGCGGAAGGATCGCCAGAGCCCAGCAGGTCGAGGCTTCGGTGGCTGGGAGTGGCCACTGCACTCCAGTCTGGGCGACAGAGTGAGACTCCAACTCAAAAAAAACCCAACCAACCAAACAAATAAACAAAAACTCTCATAACTACAGTGAATTTGATAAAGCTATTATTAATCATTCCCTAATGAACAGCAAAAACAATACTTTCATTAAACTTAGCAAAATCTTCATGAATATTTTAATGTTAGTTTAGCAAAATTAACATGGGTTTGTGGCTTTTACGACCAAAGATGTTTCTGTTGCCAGTGGTGGTTAAAACAAAAGATGTTGAATACCATCTTTCATTTTCAGTGTTTTATTTGTAGTCTTCAACCTTATTTTAGTTTGTTCTGAGATTCCTTTGGACATGGATGTGAAATTTGTTAAGAAATTGAACACAGGCATCAACCCTCCTAATTTGGGTACAACTTACACATTAGTCTCTAATTATTTACAAAGTAAGGAAGTTTGATTTTTGTAAAATGAAAAACTTAGCCTAATTAACAACTTTGCATACCAAGTGGGATGGTAATATTTCATTATGCGTGCAATGTAGTGAGAAGAAGAGATTCTACAATTGCAAATATAGTATCTAAATCAAAGTCCAGATTAGTGTCATAATAAAATTGTAAATCTAAATGCATTATGACCCTACAATACTATAGTATTGTGCCAGTGTGCTTTTTAAAAATTATGTTTCATAGTGACATATTTAAATGCCAAAACAACCATTTTGCTGCTAAGATCAAGTCTCAGAGTATAAATAAATTTTTGCAAATTAAAATTTCCTGAACTATTCAGGGTCATAGTAATGAATATAGAAATGAATATGAATGTACCACAGGTTCATTTTAATTAGTATTTAATCAGTGTTTCTTTTTTTTTTTGAGTTGGAGTCTCACTCTGTCACCCAGGCTGGAGTGTAGTGGCACACTCATGGCCACCGCAGCCTTGATCAGCTGGGCTCAGGTGATCCTTCTGCCTCAGCTTTCCAAATAGCTGGAACCACAGGCATGTGCCACCATGCCCAGCTATTTATTTTATTTTATTGTAGAGATGAGGTCTCGCTAAGTTGCCCAGGCTGGTCTTGAACCCCTGAGCTAAGGCAATCCTCTAGCCTCTTCCTCCCAAAGTGCCGGGATTACAATTGTAAGCCACCATGCCTAGCCAATCAGTGTTTCTTAAATGGCTGAAGAAGCAAGATACCTCAAACCATTTAGGAGAGTTATTTCATACCCTGTTATCCCACAAAGCACTACTCTAAGATGTGCTAGTGTAGAGTGAAGGGTTTTGATATTCAAAGCACTTGGGAAACACCATAGACTTTGTTTTTGGAGATACAGAGTCTCATGATCATATTGAAGGCTCTGAGAATTGCTGCAGTAAAAAAGCCAATTTAATTTTGCTTAACCTAGTTTCTGTTTTTATAAACTTTTTAAATCAGAAAGTTTTTGTATTTCCTAATAAAGCATATTCTGATACTCTATGAACCCTCTTTGGTCAGGATTGTTTACATTCCAGAACAGTGCTTCTGAAGATGTTAGAGTAAAGGACCCACTTTAAAAATTCGAATCTGTCAGAATGGGCCACTGGTGATGACCAGTAATGCAGCTTGTGCCACTGAAGTCTGACAACATTCAAACGGGCCTGTGTCCTGGTTGGTATGAGTGCAGTGGTCATGTAGTTGGGTACTGTAACAATATAAACTTCGTATAATAGTTTCTAAATGCTTGCTCTGTTTCCTCCATTTCTTGTTTCTCTCCTCCTGGACCAGTACCAGACAGCATAGCATACTCTGAGTAGGATGGGTCCAGAGCCTCACTTACTCAAAGTGGGGTCTGCAGACCAGCTGCGTCAGGATCATCTGAGAGTGTGTTAGCACTGTGGTACCTCAGGCTTCCCCACACATGTAGAATCATAAATCTGTAATTTAGCAAGATCACAGGTTACTCCTGTGCACATTAATATTTGGGAAACATGCATAAAGAACAATAGTGTCCAGTGGAAATAAAATGCAAGCCATGTATGTATTTTTAAATTTTCTAGTAAACACGTCCAAGTAAAAAAAAAAGTGAAACTTATTTTTAATGTATCTTATTTAATTCAATATATCCAAAATAATATTGTTTCAACATAAAATGATCATAAGAGATTTTGCATTTTTACAGTAATTTAAGTCTTTGAAATTTGATGTTTTTACACTTACAAAACATCTTATTTCATACTGGCTACATTTCAAGTGTTTAATAGCCACATGTGGCCAGTGGCCATCATATTGGCCCCCTTAGAACCTAGAATATTAACTGGCACATACTAGGTGCTTAACAAATACTTATAGAATGAACATAACTGAAGAAGAGTCTCTACTGAAGGCTAACTATATACAAGATATATTGCCTCCTTCAAACTTGAAGGTGTTTTGGTGGAATAATATTTAAAACTAGGTTTCTCACTCTTTTGTGCATGTTCTTTCCAGCTTTTTAAAAAATACGACTTTTCTTAAGAATTTGTTTGTGTGTTTGTGAATCTCTAAGTGATTTAAGTAGAATTTTTTTTAGTTAACTGAAACCTTTAAAATTCACTTTCCTAAATATTCATATATCTACCTCAAATCCTTTTCTGGAAAACATTTAACTGTAAGTGGATAAACAATCAACACCGAGTTTCTGTTATTTCTTTGCCTGTCTAATATTTCTCTGACCATCCTTATTTTTTATTTGTTTTCATTTGTCACTTAAATCTACTTCAAGAAAATTGTTCAGATATGTATTAAGACATTCTAGAAATTGTCTTTCCAAATTTGATAAAAGAATCATTAGGAAATTGAAAGCAATTGATTGAATGAACAGATCACAGATCATGGCACTTTGATTTGTTATGTAATATGGGACCAATTTGATTTATAATACTGTTGATTCCTGGTATTCAGGAGATCCAGAACCTTGTGGTGCTTGGATAACAGAACAACCACAGGATGCTGGGGTAATGCTGCACATCTAGTTTCATTATCTTGGGTTGGAGAAGATTGCAGTTCAGAAGGTCTCATAACACAGGAGTATACAGGGCAAATGCTTACAAGTTATTTTTCCCTGAATGTTTTGACTAGGTTTTGAAAGAACCAAGACAGAAAATATTTTTTTCTTGTATTATCTCCTAATTTAGTTCCTACTGCTTCTAGTCTCATTTTTAAGGCAAATGAAATATGAATATTGATTCTAGAGATCTTCTAGATATCTTCTAAAACTCTGGTTGCTTCTCAGTCATCTAATACTTGACCTGTTCAGTGAAACCACCCAACATAAGCCGGTGGGGCAAGTTCCAGAATTTTCATTAATAACCCGTTTCATTAAGTATGTTGAGTCATGTGGACTGGGAAAAGTATGTGTGGGAACTGGGCACTGCAGGTTTTAATTTTGATTTTTTTCTCAGTTCAACTTTTCTAGACCGCTGTTTTCTCATCTGTTAAAATGAGCATAATAGAAAAGTCCTAGGATTATATTGAGATGAAGAAATAAAACGACATGTTTTATGATGTTTATATAAAGTTGGACCATCAGATATTAGCTGTCTGCCCTTTTCTCTGAGTAACGAGGGTGTGGGGAAATAGAATTTCACATGCTAGTGTTGGTAGAAGCATTAATCAGGACAAGCTTTATGGAGTGGCATTTGGCAGTCTAGATACCACAGTTCTACCATTCATGTGTGTGCAGCCAAAGGATAAATTCCCAAGAGACATCAACAAGGGTGCTTGTGATAACACTCTTTCATAAAATCTCAAACTGCAGACAACTGAAATGCTCACAAACTAGGAACTGATTAAATAATGGTAAATCCATATAGTGAAATGTGCAGACATTACAAAGAATGACATAGATATTCTTGGGAAGATGGCCAAGACCTATTAAGTGTGGGGAGAAACACAGAATGCCCTTCTTTGTACAATGTGTAGAAGAATATGCAATAAATTATTAAATGGATCTCTTCTGAGAAGTAGAAATGAGGTCTGAGAGAGAAGACTTCCATTCTTTTTCCCTTCTATGCAATCTGAACTTTCTATTATGAGCAGATATTGCTTTTTCAAGGCACTTATATCAATACTATGGGGAATGTATTGCCTTGTAGCTCAATATTCTAATTTTGGGATAGAAAAACCAGTTTGGGGAAGGGGCTCAATGTCTTATAGTAATTTTGGAGCCTTACCAGGCACACATTACAAAATCAATTCAATAGCCTGCATACTCTGAATTTGATTCCGTGTGTCAGTTGGTCTAGAAGTGGTTGTTCTGAGATTTTTATATTGAACAATTTCGTGTTCTATGTTAAGATATAAGCATTTTCATAACAACTTAATTTCATCTTTTGCAAGGGTCCAAATTATTAAAGTATATATGAAAAATGCAGCCTTAAAAAAAGTCACATTTGTTTAGTGTCTCCCCACCCACCAATATAATATAAACTAAATCTGACTTAATTTTGGAGGGGAGAAGTCAGCTTCTAATTCATCTTATTTTCACTGCATAAGGAAACCTGAAAGATAAAATAAATTCAAATTGATTTATTATAGGAGGGGCATATTCTGAATGAACTTAGCTAAGAAGATGCTAAAACAAAAGTGGCTTATAAAAATGCGATAATGTAAGGAT